ATATATATATATATATATATATATATATATATATATATATTGTGTGTGTGTGTGTATGTGCGTACAGAACATTTAACAAACCATTGCTTTTAAATTTTCATAAGAAACATTCACGTTCTATGGTTTTTTGGCCTGGAGAGAGATGGAGTGGTCCAATGTCCTCGTGTTTCTCAAGACAATTAATTAATAAATTGTGTTACTTCTGTATAATTTCACATTCCAGGTATATCATTTGAATAAATGTTGGTGCTTTGAAATTGGGAAATACTGCTGTTATAATAACCCAAGATATTTCACAGCACCAAGATTCAGCAAAATAACCTGCTGCACATTCTCATAATAATGTCACCTGAAGTTACATAAGAAGGATCAAAGGAATTATTTCAACATAAGAAACCAAGTAAATGTGAAGTACAATGAAACATCTCAACCCACTAAATGTGAAGTACAATGAAACATCTCAACCCAGCATGTGAAGTACAATGAAACATTTCAACCCACTAAATGTGAAGTACAATGAAACATTTCAACCCAGTAAATGTGAAGTACAATGAAACATTTCAACCCAGTAAATGTGAAGTACAATGAAACATCTCAACCCAGTAAATGTGAAGTACAATGAAACATCTCAACCAAGTAAATGTGAAGTACAATGAAACATTTCAACCCAGTAAATGTGAAGTACAATGAAACATCTCAACCCAGTAAATGCGAAGTACAATGAAACATTTCAACCCAGTAAATGTGAAGTACAATGAAACATCTTAACCCAGTAAATGTGAAGTACAATGAAACATCTCAACCCAGTAAATGTGAAGTACAATGAAACATCTGAACCCATTAAATGTGAAGTACAATGAAACATTTCAAAATACCTTAAAGTATAAGCAGTCATACATTTAGATACAATAAAAAATTATTCAAAACTCATTCCATCTAGAAACCTTTAAAGTATATGTAATGGAGATAGTCTAGTAGCTTATTCACTTCACGGAGTCTCTTTATATTCTGCTAAGCCTTCGGGTTAGATATTTATGGTGTACAAAGATGTGTAGTCAAGTGGTCAGTAACTTAGAAGCTATAGATTCAGACCTATTGTTGTTAACGGATTTGCTTTGTACGGCTGAACTGTTTCATTCCGAATTTATTTCTCGTACTGTAATAAAGAAATTCTAGAATACTTTATGAGTAAATATTCTCTGAGGGTTTTATAGTTTATAGTCTTTTTTTTTCGTATCTCAGTTGGCTCTTATCGCATACAGTATCCAAAATAGCATTGTATGTAAACAAAGAAACTCCTTGATACCCTATCTATGTTCAAACTATCGTAAAGCAAGAGACAGTTGATTGGGTTATCTACTTTGTTCACAAACGTAACCTTAGATATTTAAGATTTTTTTTGTAGAAATCTGTAACCAATTCAGAGGATACAAACGTAAATAATAATTATATTTTTTTAAGAACAAAAGGCCAGGTAACTTGTTAATATTCAATATTTCAAGAATGAATGCCAGTTCTGTATATTTAAGATTTTATATAGAAAAACAGAAAACCTGATTTTCTGTGATTTTTCTCTTAGAACTCCCAAATTATCGTTCTATTCGTTGGAATTTGAGCTTTAGTTTAATATATTCCAAACAAGGCATTTCGAAATGCAATATTTCCCAAAGTTGTGTTTAATACTAAATATACATATATACTAGCCGCAACCCGCAAAACATTTGCGGTAGTTTTCATGCTCTTCGCTTGAATTTTCCTTATTCTATCATTTTCACGCACGCCATTTGAGCTATGCAGGCAATATGTTGTAGATCGAAAAATCCTTGTCTATTTGAAAAACAAAATTACACAGCCAGACAAACAAACTCACGTAGACGTAACTTTATTTAATAAAACTACAAGTAAAGTAAACAATAAAATACAGTAACGGTATATATAATAGTGTACATAGTATGGAAACAGTTGTGAGTGTTCAGTGTATGACACGGTATTACGAGTTGACACAAAAAAAACTAGAAAAAAAACTAATAATAAGACACGTAATAAAGAAAATAAGTAGCTAAAAGGTATTTATAGCAGTCTATGAAAGGAACCGAAACTCAATTATTGCAAAGTAAATGTAAAGTTGTAATGAAGGCAAACTTAGCTGAATATGCAGAAACGTCTGAATGAGTGTTCACAAAATGAAAAATATACGGTTTTGAACAAACTGTGGATGCGTATTTTAGAGTTAAATAAATCGAGAAAGTTATAGAAATTGTATTTAGTGTAATTTATGAAATTACAAGCGGGTTAAGTGTTGTTTGTGTCAAATACTTTGAAAATAAAGAAACTAAAATTGAAATATAAACCACTCAAAGTCAGAGGTCACGTGATAACAATGACATTGTGCCGTCGTGTACCATACTCGTTGCATTGAACCGTTTGACTAATCAAAAGAGGTAATTGTTTGTTTGTTTTAAATTTCGCTCAAAGCTACACGAGGGCTATCTGTGCTAGTCGTCCCTAATTTAGTAGTATAAGACTAGAGGGAAGGCAGCTAGTAATCACCACCCACCACCAACTCTTAGGCTACACTTTTACCAACGAATAGTGGGTTTCACCGTCACATTATAACGCCCCCACGGCTGAAAGGGCGAGCATGTTTGGTGTGACGGGGATTCGAACCCGCGACCCTCAGATTGCGAGTCGAGCACCCTAACCACCTGGACATCCCGGGCCAAAACAGGTAAGGTGATTCTGAATCAAAAATCCAATATGCAATCCGGATTCCTTTACAAAGGCCATTCTAACGATATGAGATTTGTAGCGTTTGATAGAGAAATTTGCGAGAAAACTTCCAGACAGACAAACGACAGCGTATTATATATAAGTCGATAAGGCTAAATAATACAATAGTACATGTGGTTTTATTTACAACTTCTTCAGTAAAAGTTAGTCCCTCGATGAGTCAGCGGTAAATTTATGGATTACAACTCTAAAATCCAGGTTTCGATTCTCCACGGTAGATATAACAGATATCTCAACGTGGCTTTGTTCTAAAACAAACATATAAGATTATAATATAATGATTTCATAAGAACTGTTAATAAAATTTGACTTAGTTCTTAGATAATTTCTCATTTTCTCTCTTTATATAACCTTGTACTTTTTGAAATGCTTAAAGAAAATAAAGTCTGTGTGTCAATTATGTTACGAATTTCCTTGTGATCATAGCTCAGTTGCTTTATCTTGACTGATAGTAAAGGTCTGAACGTTGCACACAAATTTTCAGATGTGAAAACAGAGACGCTGAGGATTCGAACGTGTGTCTCTACTAGTCAAATAAGAGGTCTAACCAACTATTTTCTTAGTTGTTTATCACAAACAAAAATGGATGTCAACGCCAATTTGAGTAGTAACCGACTAGAAGTTTAAAAATAGATCAACCTTGATCGCACTTAATAAATAGCGCGTTTTATTCTTCTGTTCTTGCTTG